GGTCTGAATCCATTCTGAATTATCTTCTTTCTAGCCTAGATTACTGCAAAACTGGATAACTGAAGATAATGGTGAAATACCTCCAAAGGGAAAATCAGTTTAAACATGGAATTGAAGATCCAATAAAAATGAAGTGTGAGCAAAACAGAAGTCTTGTCAGACACGTGAGGATTCAGAGTTTATCCCCCAAGTACCCTTCTTGGAGATAAAAAGGCACCTGTAAATATATTTCAGCGAACAACCAGAAAAACAAACTCAAGAAAGAGTAGGATCTACAAAAAGAACATAGGAGTACAAAGAAAATCCTAAAGTAGCTAAAATCACTTTGTCCCAATTTGATAAAGTTCATTAAGAAGCATTAAATGGGGGCTGGGTGCCCATAGCTCAGTGGTTGGGGGCCAGTCACATGCTCTGGGGCTGGTGGGTTCAAACCCAGACAGGGCCTGCTAAACAAATAAAAACAAACAAACAAACAAACAAGAAGTAGCCAGGCATTGTGGCCAGGGCCTGTATTCCTAGGTACTAGGGACCCTGAGGCAAGAGAATTGCTTGAGCCCAAGAGTTGGATGTTGTTGTGAGCTATGACTCCACTCTACCCAGGGCAACAAAGTGAGAGTCTATCTCAATTAAACAAACAAACAAACATAAAATGGGACTGGGTGCAGCGGCACATGCCTTAATCTTAGCACTATGGGAGGCCAAGGTGGGTGGATCACTAGAGTTCACAAGTTTGAGACCAGCCTGAGCAAAAGTGAGATTCCCATCTCTAAAAACTGGGCGGGCGGGACAAAATTATAAGAGAGACTTTATCCAACAAATGCAATCAGTATAACCTAATTATTTGTACCCTCAATGAATCCCAAAGAATTAAAAAAACAAAAAAAGATTAGGACTATAGAACCAAGTATTAAAAGATTATCTAAACATTAAAAAAAAAAAAAGCCAGGCATTGTGGCAGGCACCTGTAGTCCCGGCTACTTGGGAGGTTGAGGCAAGAAGATCGCTTGAGCCCAAGAGTTTGACATTGCTGTGAGCGATGACACTACAGCACTCAACTGCAGGGCAACTGAGTGAGACTCTGTCTCAAAAAAAAAAAGCATAAAATGATCTTAGGGTTATAGTGAAGAAGATATAGGAAGAAAAATAAAAAGACAAGAATATGCTTTAGGAATCCCAGGATGAGAGCTAAAAGCACTCTGAACAAATTTGGTAATTCAACAGTATGAAAAAAAGGAGAGCTGAGTTATAGTAAAGAAAGGATTTTTCTTCTGTCAAGAAATAGGATGGCACCTGTGGCTCAAAGGAGTAGGGCGCCAGCCCCATATGCCAGAGGTGGCAGGTTCAAACCCAGCCCCCAACCAAAAAATAAATAAATAAAGGCAGGCTCGGTGCCTGTAGCTCAAGTGGCTAAGGCGCCAGCCACATACACCAGAGCTGATGGGTTCAAATGCAGCCCGGGCCTGCCAAACAACAATGACAACTGCAACCAAAAAATAGCCAGGCACTGCGGTGGACACTTGTAGTCCTAGCACTTGGGAGGCTGAGGCAAGAGAATCGCTTAAGCCCAGGAGTTGGAGGTTACTGTGAGCTGTGATGCTATAGCACTCTACCCAGCGTGACAGCTTGAGGCTCTGTCCCAAAATAAAAAAAAAAAAAGAAAGAAAGGCAATGACATACTCCAGGAAAAGTAGTAATAATCTGCAAAAGCCGCAACTCAATCATGAGGGAAATGACGTATGTTATGATTCGGGGGAGCTGATGGCTAATATGAAAAAAATCCATTTGACTTCTGCTTGGAACAATCTGCTTAAATCAGCACAGACTTAAGAATGTAAGATTAGAAACATGAAGAAATAAATCAGTTGGTCTGCGTGTGAATACTTTTGCGTAATTCAGTGTGACTCCTAATTACTGACTGCAGTTTTTGGGATCAATATACTATATAAAAGAACATAAGTACAGTTCCCCAAGCTAATATACATCTATTAACACAGATTATAAAAACTCTTAAGTATAACTCATGGAAGTTAGGACGTAAGGGCAGTAGTGAGTGGGAAGGGAAATACAGGGTTGGTCACGTCCTCAGTGGCAGGGAGTCAACCAAGACTGTCTAAAATCAATGGATCAAAAAATCAAGATTCTTAATTAAGCTACACAGGAAAACAAGCAGAGAACTAACAACACAGCAAAATGGCACAAAGGAATGGAGATAAATTGCTTATCATTCATAATAGAAATATTCTGCTTAAATGACAAATGAAGAAACATGCCATTCCCTCTGAGAAGTGAAACTGGTGTGGGTCGCAGGGGGAAACACTTTCTGTTTCCTATCCCTCTGGATTGTTTAAATAAAATGTTTATTCAGCCATTTGCTTGAAAATTAAAGACATGAGAGGTGGTAGGCTCATAAAGGAATCACAGTAGACAGCGTAGAAAGATACCAGGAAATTAGAAAAAAGCTGGTACGAAAACTCAAAAATGATTTGAAATAAAAGGATAAAGTAAAGGCATTTAAACTACAGCACTTCTGGTGTGACAAAGTATATAAAAGAAGTTTATAATTATGACTCAATGATTAGACAAGAAATGTTGAGAATTCGCTTTGTAAGAAGGCAGAAATTAACTTTAAAACTATCCCCATCCCAAATAATATAATAGGGCGGCGCCTGTGGCTCAGTGAGTAGGGCGCTAGCCCTATATACCGAGGGTGGCAGGTTCAAACCCGCCCCGGCCAAACTGCAACAAAAAATAGCTGGGTGTTGTGGCAGGCGCCTGTAGTCCCAGCTACCTGGGAGGCTGAGGCAAGAGAATCACCTAAGACCAGGAGTTGGAGGTTGCTATGAGCTGTGATGCCACAGCGCTCTACCAAGGGCAATAAAGTGAGACTCTGTCTCTAAAAAAAAAAACCCAAAATAATATAATAATACAGTAACATAAGCATGGCCCTTAAGTATTTCAGACTCTGGAAAATTAAATTTTAGACAAATAAATGTTATTATATATATTTATAGATAACAGATGATGGTCCAATACTTTAACACCTTTGTTTAAAAAGAATATTAAAATAAATCATCCTTAAAATCATTATGATAATAGCATGACACCAAGGTTACAATACTTTAATAAAATTTTTACATTTCTGAGACAACTTATTCAATTCATACAATATACATAAATAGCAAACAAAAAGGAAAAAAGTAAGTCGGTCTTCCTATAAAACATTTAAAAGTACTTTCTTTTGTGCAATACATATGTTCTTTTGGTATTCTGAATTTTTACATAAAGCTTTAAGAAAAGAAAATTTCATATAAAAATAGTTATCTTTTTTTAACAATGGATTTTCAAATTAAATAACAAAGGTATTCTGTTTACCAATGTATATTGCATAGAAATAGTTAAACTCTTTAATACTTAGAAAAACATGGGGAAGTCAGTTTTTTAATGTCTCCTATATCTTAAAACTGGTAATTTAAGTTTTATCCTAATTTTAAAATTACACATTCTTTAGGTATAAAAGTTAAAAAAATAGATTTTGATTTAATAAAAATGCTTCTAAAATTACATTTTTAAACACCACTATGATTGCCATAATGACTACCTTTAGATACATTTAGCCAAAATAAGTTAATTTTAAAAAATAACATGCAGTAAACTGGCAAGATGATTTCTTTAAAAACAAATGGGGGTAATTATAAAGTCAGTGTTACAAATGTAGTACTACAAATAAATACTTAAAACAGAATATAAAAATGCACAGAATAGGTTAAGTTTTTTTTTAACCTAAGTCACCAATGCAGAATTAGGGCACTTAATCCCTCAAGGAGTTAAGAGAATTCTGAATATAAAAGATGACTTTTGGGCTAGGCATGGTGGCTCACATCTGTAATCTTACCACTCTGGGAGGCTGGGGTGGAATATCCCTTTAGCTCAGCTGGAGACCAGCTTGACAAGAGCAAAACCCTGTCTCTACTAAAAACAGAAAAAATAAGCCCAGTGTTGTGGTGGGTGCCTGCAGTCCCAGCTACTTGGGAGGCTGAGACAGGAGGATTGCTTGAACCCAGGAGTTTGAGGTTGCTGTGAGCTAGGCTGATGTTACCACACTCTGGCCTGGGCAACGAAATGAGACTCTGTCTAAAGAAAAAAAAGATGACTTTTCACACAGGATATTGTGACTTTCTGTGAATCAAGAAAACAAAGTCTATTATTTCCAATCAGATGCTTTTAGAGTGGTTTTGGTCAGTGTTTTTATGTAACTCCGTTAATTTAAATGTTCTTTCCCTGGCAAAGACATTTACAAGCTAATGATTTTGGCCTCACAACATACACATACTTTAAAAATACATGTGATTCTATAGGCAACCCCTCCCTCCATACTAATACTTCTACATATATGTGCACTTATAAATATATACATAATTTCAGGATTACAAAAATAATTCTTATAAACTTAAATAATTACTAAATGTTAATACAGAATACATTAATATTTGTATAATTTTACTTTTACTTATAAAATGTTTTTATAGCAGCATTTGCACTGCAAATGAAATGTGACCAAATGATGTTCCAGCGTACCAAGACTCATACCGAAAATCAGACTGAGCAGCAGGGACATTCCTCTAAAGAAACATCTGTCTTAGCTACAGAACAGCAGTTCCCACAAAGTACAAAAACTTTGAGGGGCTAATGACTTACCAAAACCTTCTAAATGCATATGAAAATTATATCCATAGAGTTGGCAAGATTTATTACAATATCCCAAGAAGTCCAAGTTATCTTTATTCCCAGAAATGTTTTCTAGTAACTAGAAACTATATTAGTGAATTATGTTTTTAGTTCAATCACAAACTTATTAGAAATTAACTGAAAATTTCAAGAGTAAAAAAATAAAAACAGGGTGGCGCCTGTGGCTCAAAGGAGTAGGGCGCCAGCCCCATATACTGGAGGTGACGGGTTCAAACCCAGCCCTGGCCAAAAACTGCATGAAAATAAAAAAATAAAAAATAAAAACACATCACTGTGGAAGGTATAAGAAAAGAAAGTGAGAAAGGCAGATTTGAAACTTTAAGGCATTCTAAAAGATCAAATAAAAACCTTCAATCTCAAATACTCATATTAAGCTTATTTTTGTTGAGCTCACGTTCCAGATTGCCAATCAAAGTATCAATACTTTCTTGTAGATCTTTGAGATTGACTTTTCTATCCATTGTAGATTCAATAGTCTGCATTGTCAAATACGTTTGAAATGTGCATTCTCTGGACATGGGAAGTGGCTGTTTAATCATTATTTCTGGTCCACTCACTTTGCTATAGTTTTCTCCATTTTCTCTGTCTTCTGAAGGGACATCATCATAGTCCACATCATTTAAGTTTTCTCTTGTACTTAAAAAGTAGTTTTCTCCACAGCTGCTCCAATCTCCTGCATAACGATTGCTAAGTGGACTGTCTAATCTGGTTTGTCTTGGTCTAAGAACTCCTGATGAATCAGAACCACTCAAATCTAACATGTAAGGTCGTTCTTTCTTCCTCCTTAAATAATTCAGAGAAGATTTCTGTTCTGGGAACAAATTGTCTGTTGATTCTTTGCCAGTTAAACGCTGCACTAGAAATGAACGACAATTTTGCTTTAGTGACACTAAGCCAGCTGGCCTTAAAAACACACAGCTGAAGATAAGCCATTTAATAATCAACCACAAACATGCATTAAACAAAAATACATGCACATTGCCATCTGAAAGCATTCCATAATTATTTTTTCTATCATCAGACATAATCAAGATTAGGGATAGAAGCAATCCAGTAGAATGTTCGGTGGTGCTAATTCATGCTATAACATCCCAAAACAAATCAAATTTCTAATGTTCTGTGCAAGTTAATTATTATCTAGCTATAATTCAAACAGTAGCTAAGCTGGTAGCTTCTTCTAAATTAAAAGCTACAGCAACAAGCAGGCAAAGCATGTTGATGTACAAAACAAGACAAAAAGTTCCTTCCTCTGCAAACATCTAAATGAGCCAAAGGCATTTAAAGTGATCACTCTAAAAGTTCTGACCTTTGTGGGCTTTTATGAAATTCTATTAGCAGCAGTTCATAATGTACTTTACTAAGCAGCCCAAATTTCACTTTGATAAAAAGCGTGAATACCAGATTTGGCCAATTACCTGAATTTGATTATACAGCATTATCTACTAATAGTCTTCATTTATTGCCTGGAAATAGTATAGATATTTTATTTTCCCATTCTGGTTAGGTATTTAACAATAACAAATAACATTCCCCATATTAAGACTCCTTTCTTCTGAGAACAGACATTGTGCTGTCCATATAGAGGCAACATTATCTCATTACCAACCAAGGCTTTACTGCTTTACTCTTTTGTATACATTGAACAGATTGTCTCTGGCTCTTTTGTATACCAAGTGGACTTAATTTAAAATGCAGAGACACAGCTGTCCATAATACCTTTCTCTTTCTGCTTGTTTACTTTCTGTTAATAAGTTCCTCTCCATTTATTATCACTATCTCCTTGCTTTTCTCCTCTCATTCCTGTTACTCCTCTTCTTTGTACTTAACTGTCACACTGTCGTTTTAACCAACCAATTACACCAATTACAATATTCTGCTCACCTTGAGATCATCTAATCTGATCTAACCGAGTATCTTTGAATCTGTGTCTCCAGCTTGTCTTACTGTGCTTACATTTTCTGACATTTGCTTGCAAAATCCAGACTCACTTTGTTGCCAGTTGGTTAAAGTTAATTTAACTAAGAGTCTATTTTAAACATTATTTTTGCATATTATCTTAGAAAATATTTAAGAAGATAAATTGGTACTTTATATCTTTTAGATTAAATATTCAATTTCTGAAAAACCAACATCAGTGGCTTTTTAGACCACTGATGCTGGAATGGTTTCCCACTAAATATGCTGAGAAAATGGTTAATTTTAACTCCAAAAGTCTTGGTTTTCCCACCACTGCTGATTACCCACCTTCCAAAGAATAAAAAATGCAGTCAATGGAGATGGCTGGAAACATTTCAAAATGTAGTGAGTACTAATATAATTTTTCCTTACTTCACCCATAGATTTGTTTTTAATTGCCACTTTATTAGCCTTTTATCTTCAGTATAATTATATCTTATGTAACAGAAATACACTGAGTGTTTAGTTAATGCTGGTGAAGACCTGGGGATATAAGGTTAAACAGTAGCATAATCCTTGACCTCATAAAACTTGCAATCTAACAAGAAAAATAAAAAGAATTAGAGAAAAATTGACACCATTTCTAAAAAACCTATCACAGATTTTCTCATCACAGAACATACAGTTTAGCAAAGATCTAGAAGTTATATATTCTCTCTAAATCTAAATCTATTTCTCCATTTGTAGAGTAACAGGGTAACATACAAGGGATTTTTAGTATTCTTCAAACAGAAACCCACTTTAAAAGAAAAATTTTTATGAAAACTCAATACATAAAACAGATAAAAAGAAGGCTGAATTGAACTGAACTGAAATGTGTTTTCTTTTCTTTCTTTTTTTTTTTTTGAGAGAGTCTCACTTTGCTGCCCTTGGTAGAGTGGCATGGCATTACAGCTCACAGCAACCTTAACTCTTGGGACTCAAAAGATTCTTTTGCCTCAGGTTCCTAAGTAGCTGAGACTATAGGTGCCCACCACAACATTTGGCTATTTTATTTTAGAGTCGAGGTCTTGCTCTGGCTCAGGCTGGTCTCAAACTTGTGAACTCAGGCAATCCACCTGCCTTGGCCTACCAAAGTGCTAGGATTACAGGCGTGAGTCACCACGCCCCGCCATGAATTGTGTTTTCTGAACTGAAATGTTTCTGTATTGTCCTCTCCACCTATCAATCTGCCCCCAAAGCCACTTCCAAAGAACCTCAGAGCTTGGTGGAAAATAATCTGAAAAAATACTAGCAGGATAATATTTACCTTCTAGTGTGCTGATATATTAGAGTTCTACCTAATTAATTTACTGAATACATGATTTTTCAAATGGTAATCTCAAAGCAAATTATCTTCTTACCCTAAACAGAAAGTTTAGAAAGTAAAAGGTAAGCAGAAGATGGGGGCAACCCTTTTCAACTCCAGAGTTAGAGAAATTCCAAATAGAAAAATAAGATATGCACAGCAAGGGAAGTCAAAATGTTCTATTGAATCCATGGAGACATTCACTCAATTAATATACTACAGCCTGGACTTCCACATTTCCTATGTCACCATCAGTTTTCTCAGGCCATCCATTGACTTGATTTCTGTCTTTTCCTGAATCTAACAGCAGGTGACTCAGAAGGCAAAACTAACTATTGTTTCCTCTCATCCTTCTGCCCTGTTCCATCCTTTGTCCAAGATACTACAATTAAAGAAAAATGTTGGCTCGGCACCTGTGGCTCAAGTGGCTAAGGTGCCAGACACATACACCTTAGGTGGTGGGTTCGAATCCAGCCCAGGCCCGCCAAACAACAATGACAGCTGCAACCAAAAAATAGCCAGGCGTTGTGGTGGGCGCCTGTGGTCCCAGCTACTTGGGAGGCTGAGGCAG